TGCCCCCCCCCCCCGTTTAAATAAAAGATTTCACAAAATATTTCACGCTCTGCTCTCCTTCTTCTTACCCCTTCCCTCTCTCTGTACCCCCTCTCTCTCTACCCCCTCACTCTCTCTACCCCCTCTCTCTCTCTACCCCTTCTCTCTCTACCCCCTCTCTCTGTACCCCCTCTCTCTCTACCCCCCTCTCTCTCTCTACCCCCTCACTCTCTCTACCCCCCTCTCTCTCTCTACCCCCTCTCTCTACCCCCCCTCTCTTTCTACCCCCTCTCTCTACCCCCTCTCTCTCTCTCTCTACCCCCTCTCTCTACCCCCCTCTCTCTACCCCTCTCTCTGTACCCCCTCTCTCTCTCCACCCCCTCTCTCTACCCCTTCTCTCTACCCCCTCTCTCTGTACCCCCTCTCTCTCTCTACCCCCTCTCTCTACCCCTTCTCTCTCTACCCCCTCTCTCTCTAACCCTTCTCTCTCTACCCCCTCTCTCTACCCCCCTCTCTCTCTAACCCCCTCTCTCTCTCTACCCCCTCTCTCTACCCTTTCTCTCTCTAACCCCCCCCTCTCTCTACCCCCTCTCTCTAACCCCCCCTCTCTCTCTACCCCCTCTCTCTACCCCCCCCCCTCTCTCTACCCCCTCTCTCTCTAACCCTTCTTTCTCTACCCCTCTCTCTACCCCCCTCTCGCTCTAACCCCCCCCTCTCTCTCTACCCCCTCTCTCTACCCTTTCTCTCTCTCTACCCACTCTCTTTACCCCCCCTCTCTCTACCCCCTCTCTCCCTCCTCTATGTCTATGTTTCCCCTGTTTTCTATGTAATTTTTTTACGACAAGTGCTGCATATGCACCCAGCCCTTCTAGCAGTCCTACGGCCTCCGACTGGTAGCTCTCCCTCTCCACCACTCCCCCTCTCATCCATCTCCCCCCCCCTACCTCCTCCCTCACCTCGCTCACTTCCCCTCCCTCTCCACCGCTCCCTCCCCCATTCCTCTCGAGCCCCGCTCTCCTACCTTCCCCTGCCTCTCACCTCTCCCTGCTCCCCTCTACCGCACCCCTCCCTCCCTCTCTCTCGCGCGCGCGCGCGGTCCGTGATGTGAATCTCTAAATGCCGCTTCGTGGCCGCATGAATGAAGGCGCGCGGTGTTGAATGAATCACGCCGCCCTGGTCTGTGAATGGGGCCATTTCGTCAAAAGACAAATGTACCCCGTATAGCCGTAAGGGACTTTTGGGGCAAGTGCTTTTAGCAAGTACCTCGGAATGCCCGCATGGCACACGAGAGTGGCCAGCACCACGCCCGGCCGCCTTTGTCTTCCTAGTGGCGACGTTCATACACCACACCAGGTACTCATTTGAGGCTGAGTCGATCTAGGGGAGGCCCGGGACCAGTTCAGATAATCGTCACTGGTGTTGGCCGTGAGCGAGAATCGAACTCGGGTCGCCGGGTTCGTTGGCCAGCGCGCTACACTACCGCTCCATCGAGTCACACATAAAAAAAAATACAAAGATTCCCCGTATACTATTAACAGACTGTTGGGGCAAGTGCTGTTAGCGAGCACCTATGAAGCCTGGCACGGCACAAGAGGGGGTGGGTGGCCAGCAACACGCCCGGTCGCCTTTGTCTTCCTAGTTGCGATGTTTACGCACCGCGCCAGGTACTCATTTGAGGCTGAGTCGACCTAGGTGAGGCCCAGGACCGGTTCAGAAAATCGTCACTAGTGCTGGCCGTGAGCGGGAATCGAACTCGGGTCGCCGGCTTCGTAGCGCGGCGCGTTAACCGCTGCACCACCGCTCCTCATATACAAAGACAAGATCCCCCGTATAGCCTTAACAGACTGTTGGGGCAAGTGCTGTTAGCGAGCATCTACACATAGACGCACACACATACATGCACACATACAATCACGTGTACGCCTCTTCGTATTGCTCTGGACGTCTGTCTGTAGTGACCAATCAAACACGTACACAGTACGTATATCTATCAGCAGCGCGCTTATCCTGCGGGCTAAGCCCTCGGCATACTAATGTGGAATGTCCACGACGGCTGTAAAGATAAATTAAGCAAACCATCTCGATCTACATGTCAATCGTCCATCTGTTTGCCTATCAATGTAACTAACCCGTCCGTCGTATTCTCTCTGCCTGTACGTATACGTGCACGTGTACAAACTTTTTGTGTGAATCCACCGCTGGATGAGTTCGATTCCTGCTCATGGACAACACCAGTGACGATTATCTGACAATTTGGTCAAACTGGAAGAAAAGAACTATAATAATAATAAAGTCAGCATAGCTGAGATCTATAGAAGGCGGCTCGACAGGTCAGAGACGCGCGCGTGTGTGCGTGCGATTGTCTCTCTCACGGGCGATAGTTTGTCGAGACGATCAGACGGTTTACGAGCGGAGTCAGAGGAGCTAAATCGACGCTGTTTCCCGCGCAAGCCGAGCGCCGTTGTGACGTCACACGCATCTCCCACGTGGAGCAGGCGACGCGGGACGAACGCCTTTGTGACGTCACAAGCATGGCCCACGTGGAGTCGGCGACGCGAGACGAACGCCTTTGCGACGTCACAAACATCGCCCACGTGGAGCAGATGACGCGGGGACGAACGCCTTTGTTACGTCACAACCATCTCCCACGTGGAGGTTGTAGGCGTGAGGACCATCCATCTCTCTCCTGATTGGGTTCCTTACGAGGTGACAACGGTCGTGACGAGGCGAAAGCCGATGTCCCCGCGTGACTGTGCAGATGTCCTCAATAAGCCTCTGCGTCTCGCATTGATGAGTCGTTACATCTACTGTATTTCCACACCGCAGCTCTAGCCTCCCTTAAATCACGTGACGTCTCTGTGGAACCACCGCCACTCTGAATCCTTTACTCCCCTCGCATTCATATCCGTCTATCTCCTTGTCTAAATCAGCCTAGGCCTCCCGTAACTCACGTGACTTCTCTGCGTGGCCACCGCAACACTCTGAATCTCTCCCCTCTCACCGCAGTCGCCCCCCCGTGACAACAGACGCTGCTCCTCCGTGCAGCTCCCTTCTCGTGCTCCCTCCTTCCTTCTCTCTTGTGCCTCTCTTCCCTCCCCTCTCCATCACCACCACCGCCGCCGCCCCCCCCCTCATCCCCGACATCTTTGCCCGGTCGCGAGTGGGAATCGAAGTCTGGTCGCTCGCTGCGTCCGTAGCGGGGGCCGCTAGCTGCCGCACTACCACTCCTCCTCCATACCTCGTCCATGGTGGGGAGCGGTGGCGCAGTGGTTAGCGCGCTGCGCTAAGAACCCAGCGACCGGTCCTAGGCCTCCCCCTTAGGTCGACTCAGCCTCAAACAAGTACCTGGTGCGATGTGTAAACATCGCCACTGGGGCGTGGTGCTGGCCACCCACCTCCCTCGCGTTCCTTGCTGGCCTTCGTAGTTGGTGCTTCTCGCTAACAGCCCTTGGCCCAACAGTCTCTTAAGGCCATTCGGTAGATCTTTAAACATATATATTCCACACAACAACAACCGCCATTCGCCACTAAGTGGCGGTGACGTCACCACGACGCTTGTGCCAGGCCATGTGCACCTTGAGGCCACGTGAAGTGTCGAACGCCCGCTGGCAGGAGGTCACGGGGCAGACCCAGCAAGTGCCACGAGTCGACTGACTGAGATGACTGAGATGACTGGCTGATGCACCACCTGTGACCTCTACTGTGCCAATTTGCTGTGCTTTAGCCACCCGGCGTTCCGCTCGTTGTTGTGAGCGTCGCTCCTCCTACATCACACGCGCACACACACACGTCAGCAAATTGAAGGTGCTGATGATGGTGATGATGATACTCAGCCAATACTACAGGGATGTCCCTAATTAAGATGTAATTACGGGAGAAACATAGCCACACTCATAGCCACACTCATAGCCACACTCATAGTCACACTCATAGTCACACTCACAGCGGCGCCTCAGTTGAAGAGTTGGGGGGGGGGGTTTCTTTAAACAAAAATTATTGTCATTTTTGTAAAATCCCCAGTCGCTGAGATTAATCCTAATGATGTCAAATAATTATCATCACCACCATCGGCTGTCATTTCCAAATAAGCATCATCATCATGCATAATACAGGTTTTTTGGGTTAGATCGCATAAATATATAAATGTGTCGTAATTATGATCATCATCATCATCATGTTGATCATCATTATCGGCTGTCATTGTCAAATATCATCATCATCACCGGTTGTCATTGTCAAATAATCAAAGGTGGTCAGGCGGGCGTGGTGCTGGCCACCCCACCCCCCTCGTGTGGTGTTCCGGCTTTCACTGGTTGCTCGCTAACAGCACTTGCCCCTACAGTCTGCTCAGCTCAAACGGGAGGGGTTCTTTGTCTTCTCCCCGTTCGGGTGGACAGAGGCGGCGTTGGAGTTGCAGAGGGGCGGGGCGATGCGGGCAGCAGCTCAGACAACTTGCGCTCTTGCCTCGGCTGCCTGCCGCGCTCGGAGATCGATCAAACATCGAGCGGGCGAACCCTCTGCATTGTTGAAATCTCGCGCGCTCACCACTCCGCCGGCACCACCAGCACCAACTAACAGCGTCCGTCACGCGGCTGCAAGCGATGAGTTGAACAAGAGCGGAGGAGAGGCGGCGAAAGAGAGACGGGAGGGTGTGTGTCTGTAGTCGTCGACCGGGCCTCCCCTAGGTCGACTCAGCCTCAAATGAGTACATGGCGCGGTGTGTAAACATCGCCATTGGGAAGATAAAGGCGGCCGGGGCGTGGGGCTGGCCACCCCCCCCCCCCCTTGTTGTGCTGTGCCTGGCTTCATAGGTGCTCGCTAACAGCACTTGCCCCAACAGTCTGTTGAAGGCTACACGGGGGATCTTTGTCTTTGCTTGTTCGGGGCGGGTGGGGAAGAACAGTGGGGGGGGGGTGGAGATATAAAGACGGACGGGCGGGGTGATCCTCGGCTCTCGACCAATGAACGCCAGCCTCGGTGGGCGCGGCTCTGGGGAGCCAATAGGATCGCTTGTGGGCGGGGCATCTTCTTTATTTAAACCCACACCCGGGAGCTGTGCTTCACAGTTCGTTAGTGGGCAGAGGAGAGAACGCGCAGGGAGAGAGGTACACGGGGAGAGAAGGAATCCACTGGGATATTGAAATATACGGGGAGAGGTACAGAGAGAGAGACGAAGACGCCGAGAGACACGAGCAGAAGAGAGAGAGAGGAGGAGAAAGACGGGGAGAGAGGTATTAACACAGGGAGATCAAAAACACGTGGAGATAAATATACACGGAGAGAGGGAGACGGGGAGAGAGACATACAACCAAGAGATAATAGGAGTGGGGTAGTTGCGACTGCATAGACCAGCGCACATCAGGAGTGTACACAAAATCATCATCATCCGTAGCAGCAGCAAGAACAGTAGCAGTGGTAGCATCACATGCAGTAACGGCAAAAATCATCATCAGCAGCAACAACAACAACGAGAGTAGCGAAAAAATCATCAACGGCAGCAGCAAGTGGAACGCGAGACTCGCAGAGACAATCAATCAAAGGCCACGCGGTTCATCATGTCTTCTCCGATGATCTCCCTCCATCTCATGCTGCTGCTGCTGCTGCTACTCGTCACGTCCATCAGCTCGCAACAGCAGCAACAGCAGCAGCAGCATCAACAGCAGCAGCATCAACAGCAGCAGCACGACCTCGGCCACTCGCGCTTCGTGTGCACCGCCATCCCCGCCGACGTGGACGCGGCGTGCCCGCTGCCCGCTCTGTCGGGGCTCTCCTCGGGCGCGAGCGACGAGGCGCGCACGGGAGTCCTGGAGCTGCGCGAGACGGTGCTGCGCCAGAAGGAGACCATCCTCGAGCAACGGGAGAGCATCAGGGACCTCACCACCAAACTCCAGCGGTGCGAAGGCACGGACACGCTCGCCTCCTCCTCCTCCTCGTCGACCAAGCACCTGCACGCGCGCCTCCCCGGAGCGAAACAGGCGCCGGGCAAGTGGCGAGACACGATGGGCGACCTGCCCAGGGATCCCGGGGAGGTGATCGAGCAGCTGGGCAGGACGGTGCAGTCGCTCAAGGACCGGCTGGAGAGTCTGGAGGTGAGTGGAGGGCACGGCGCGGTGATGGTGGGTGAGGTGTGTCGGACGGGTGCGCGTGGGGTGAGCGAGTGATGGCGTGGTATGCGTGTGGTGTGGTGTGGCGTGGGGAGCGGTGGTGTAGCGGTTAGCGCTACGCTGCGCTACGAACCTGGCGGACCCCGGGGTTCGATTCCCGCTCACGGCCAAACACCACTGACGATTATCCGAACCGGTCCTAGGCCTCCACTAGGTCGACTCGGCCTCAAATTAGTACCCGGTGCAATGTGTAAACGTCACCACTAGGGAGACAAAGGCGGCCGGGCGTGGTGTTGGCCATCCCAACCCCCTGAGTGTGCCGTGCCGGCCTTTATAGGTGCTCGCTAACAGCACTTGCCCCTACAGTCTGGGAGATCTTTGATCTGTGTGTGGTGGAGCGGGGGGAGCGGTGGCGCAGTGGTTAGCGCGTTCCGCTACAAACCCGGTGATCCGAGTTCGATTTCCGCTCACGGCCACCAACACCGGTGATGATTATCTGAACCGGTCCTGTGCCTTCCTCTAAGTTGATTCAGCCATAAATTAGTACCTTCTGTGGTGTGTAAAATCAACGCCGCTGGGGAGACAAAGGCGGCCGGGCGTGGTGCTGGCCACCCACCCGCTCGTGTACTGTGCCGGCCTTCATAGGTGCTACTCGCTAACGGCACTTGCCCCGAACAGTATGTTAAGGCTATACGGGACATCTTTGGCGCAGTGGTTAGCGCGCTGCACTACGAACCCGGCGACCCGAGTGATGATTTTATTATCTGAACCGGTCCCGGACCCTCCTAGGCGTCCAATGAGTACCTGCTGCGGTGTGTTGTAAACATCGCCACTGGGGAGACAAAGGCAGCCGGGCGTGGTGCTCGCTACTCACTCCCCTCGTGTGCCGTGACGGCCTTCACGGGCGCTCGCAAAACACCAACTTGCCCCAACAGTCTGACGAGGCTACATGGGGCTTCGTTGTCTTTTGTGGGGGGTGAGGGACGCCGGGGGGGGGGGGGGGGTGGGGGTGGAGAGCGGTGGCGCAGTGGTTGGTGCAATGCGCTATGACACGGCCCAACACGAGGAGCCTCGCCGAGGTCGACCCGAAGACCGACGTTCGTGTGCGGACGTCGGCACTTGGTGGAAAGACAAAGGCGCTCGGGCGGTCATACCGACCCCGACCCGACCCCGCCCCCCACCAATCGGCCTTAATAGGTGCTCGCTAACAATCGCTGGCGTCCAACAAGTCGGGGCGGGGAGAAGGGCGGCTCTTTGTGCTCGTGGACGTGTGGGCGAGAGGTCGTCCCTCGGAGGGGGGGGGGGGAGTGGTTTTGGGGGGGGGGGGTTGCGGGGTGGAACGCAGTGGCGTGAGAGGGGCAATTGCAGCCCTGCGCCTTTACCCTCCCCCCCCCCTCTCCACCGTCGTCTCGTTACGAGACAAAACAAAGGGAGCCCCCCCCCCAACCCCCCCCCCCCCTCTCCTCTGAGACCGTTCGCGATCACCGTCGCGCGAGCCCGCGCCGCCCTAATTTGGCAGTGACGTGGCAGCACCACCTCGCTAACGGCACTTGCCCCAACAGTCTGTTGAAGGCTACACGGGGGATCTTTGTCTTTATTCAATGGGTAGCTGGGGGCGGCAGCGTTGCCGGCTGAGCGCGCTGCGCATAACAAACAAACAAAAAACACTCCAGCCAGCCGCAGTTCGATTCCAGCTCGCGGCCAGTGACGATGACATGGAGCGACCCTGGGGCTCCCCCTAGGTCGACTTAGCCTCAAATGAGTAACCCGTGCCACGTGACAAAATCGCCACCGAGGGAGACGAAGGCGGCCGCGCGTCGTTCTGGGCCACCCACCCAAGAAAACCTCGTGCTCGCTCACAGCGCTTGGCCCCAAACATTGGGCTACAATCTCAGGGCCAACCTCAGTGGCGAGTGATGAGTAAACTTGCAACGGCTTTGCTATAAGTCGTCCACAGCCTTGGCCGAATGCGTGGCGCGGTGTTGAATATATATCTATAAGCACCGGAGAGACAAAGGCGGATGGGTGTGCGCAGTGACGGCCACACCGCCCTCTCGCGTGTCACGTTGCTCCTCCTGCTGCAGGTGAATCTGATAGCGATGCTGATTATGATGCGTCTGCTGCTGACGATGATTATTTTGGCCGATCATGATATTCTCAACCTCGTATTGTCCCGTTTTTAATCGCGAATGCAATATTTGATTGAAGATCATCACAAAATAAAAAACTCGGGTTCTGGATCGGACGTAGATGTCCCCCCCCCCCATCCTCGAGCGCTGAGCGAGCGTTGAGGCATTGATGCTCCCCTCCTGTTCTACACAGCCCCGCAAACGTGGTTGGTGGAAATTCCCCGTTCCCATGGCGCGGGGCGAGTCTATCCGCAACCACCGTCGCCTTCACCACGAAGCTGCACCAGTACTCGTTTTATCCACCCTGGATGGGGCGTGATGGGCTTTAGTCAACCCTTAAGCTACAAAACCGCGCGCGGCGCGCTGAATTCGCACGCGAGGAATCCCCACTGGAGGAGGAGGGGGGGGGGGACTCCCTTGGGAGGCGGGGGGGGGGCTGTTGTGAGGGTGCAGTGGAGAGAGAGAGGGGAATCGTTTGGAGCGGCCGCTTAATGATGAGCAAGAATTCTCACCTCGCTGCCCGCCTCCCCACGCCGCTCCTCTAAATATAATACACATAAAGGTCCCCCCCCGGGGTTAGGGTAAGTACTCCCATGAAGGTCGGAGCGGCACGCGAAAGGGGTGGGTGGCCAGCACCACGCTCGGCCGCCTTTGTCTCCCCAGTGGCGATGGAGTCGACATAGAGGGAGGCCCAGGACCGATTCGGAAAATCGTCACCGCTGTTGGTGGCCGTGAGCGGGAATCGAACTCGGGTCGCCAAGTTTCGCAGCGCGTTAATTACCGCAACCACCGCTCCCCCCCCCCACCGACCACACTCACAGTGACCCCAATCCTGACTTTTAACCTCCTAGCACCGGATTAACTAATCCCAGCGATGTCAACGACAGCGGCTGACGTTCACCCACCACCATCACCACCATAGGGGCCCTTAACTGACAATTGGTGGGGACTCTTAATTTGAAACGGGGAACTCTGGCAATTCCCCCCCCCCCCCCCGGCTACACCAATCCGGCGTGTGCCCCCCCCACTCGGAACTCACCAGCCCCCCCCCGCCCCTCCACTCCCTCTCTGTCACCGCTTGTGACGTAACCGCAAATGCCCGACGGGATTATGGTGCGGTAACTCGATTCAGCCGCCAGCCGCCGTCATCAGTCGTCACGAATCAGGGTCGATCCACTGCTGGACTAGCACCATCACCGCCGTGACCTTCAGAGAAAGTGATATATATTTCAATGAAACGGGCGACGTTTAGAGCAACGGCTCTAATTCAGCGCTGGATTCAATAAATCGCCGCCTCTCGTGACCCCTGCGCTGTGTGCGTGTCTGCTGCGCGTGTGACGTCTATCTCTGTCGTGTTGGCCACCCCACCCCCTCGTGCGCCGTGGCGGCCTTCACAGGTGCTACTCGCTAAGAGCCCTTGAGCCAAAAGTATAGTGAGGCTAGACGGGGGAGCTTTGTCTTTGTGTGTGTGTAGTGGGGAGCGGTAGTGTAGTGGTTAGCGCACTGCGCTATGAACCCAGCGACTCGAGTTCGATTCCCGCTCACGGCCAATACCAACGGAAATCACCTGAAGCGGTCCTGAACCTCCCCTAGGTCGCCTCAGCCTCAAATGAGCACCTGGTGCGGTGTGCAGTAAACATCGCCGCTGGGGAGACAAAGGCGGCCGGGCGTGGTGCTGACCACCCACCCCCTCGTGTGCCGTGCCGGCCTTCATAGGTGTTGCTCGCTAACAGCACTTGCCCCAACAGTCTGTTAAGGCTATACCGGGGGGGGGTCTTTGTCTTTGTGTGTGTAGCCAAGCCATGCCAGCTTTATTTAATCTGTGCTCGCTAATCGCACAACGGGGTTTGTTTTTATTAACGGCTGTAGCCTGGTGGATTTTGTCTTTGTAACGCTCTCGAACTCGAGTGCCCCGTCTGGTCCTCCGTCCATTCATAACTGGAGGTAGGAAGGGGGCAGAATGGGGGGGGGGGGGGAGAGATAAAGGGGGTGGGGGGCGGGAGCAATATTCCTGCTAACAATGACCCAACGTGAAACCGAACTGGCATGCCCGAGTTATTGCTGTCGTGGACTCGCGAATCGATAACAAAAAGAAAATCGCCCGAGATCTTGGGAGACGTAAACCCGGGGTGGTCGTCACGATCGACGCCCGTTTAGCAAACGTGCGAAACAAGTTAGCTCGTTAGCGTCGATAGCTGCCGATTAAAAACACATTTAAACCAACTCCGGGAGACGCTGCATGCAGGGTCCATGCGTGTGCATGGTTTGTCGTGAACTCGTTTTCGTGCGAGTGGCGAGTGCGTGAGTGAACGGGTTTGTTTTATGGGTGACGTGGAATGGATTTTATTAAGACCGCTCCTCAATCCCTGATCCCTCCCTCCTGTGTCTTCCACCAACCCTCACCTGGCTTACTCCTCGCCATACACCTCATTCATCACCACCACCGCTCACCATGCGCGCACACGTGCACATTTTCTACACACGCAACTCATAACATGCACATACTAAACCCAAACCATAATACACGCATGCACAACGGCGCGTGCGCGCACACACACACACACTCCACATTCATACATACCCATACACAACACAAACCGTAACACAAACACACCTACCATACAAGCCACACCTTACCACAACTCCTTTCATTTCACACGCACACACAAAGCCCATGCCACACACGCATCACCTTAACACAACACACACATCTCCCATCTCATACCCATCACCACACACACACACCTCCCATCTCATATCCCTGACCACACACCTCCCATCTCATATCCCTGACCACACACACACACCTCCCATCTCATATCCCTGACCACACACACACACCTCCCATCTCATATCCCTGACCACACACACACACATCCCATCTCATATCTCTGACCACACACATACACCTCCCATCTCATATCCCTGACCACACACACACACCTCCCATCTCATATCCCTGACCACACACACACCTCCCATCTCATATCCATTACCACACACACACACACCTCCCATCTCATATCCCTGACCACACACACACACATCCCATCTCATATCTCTGACCACACACATACACCTCCCATCTCATATCCCTGACCACACACACACACCTCCCATCTCATATCCCTGACCACACACACACCTCCCATCTCATATCCATTACCACACACACACACCTCCCATCTCATATCCCTGACCACACACACACACCTCCCATCTCATATCCCTGACCACACACACACACCTCCCATCTCATATCCCTGACCACACACACACACCTCCCATCTCATATCCATTACCACACACACACATCTCCCATCTCATATCCATTACCACACACACACACATCTCCCATCACTCACAATACATTCTACACCTCCACCCGTCCCCAATCACCCCTCCCATCCCTGTACCCCCACCTCCCTCACAACCCCCCCACCCTCAATCACCCACCCCCACCTGTCCCCACTTCACAGCAGAAGCACCGCGCTAACTCATCGCGCCCGCAGGGCTCCACGGGCGGTGCCGCCGGCGGCGGCGGCGTTGGTGGTAGCGCCCACTCGCTGCGGGAGTACCTGCACGAGCGTCTGGGCGACGTGGGGAAACATCTTCACGGCGAGGGAGGAGACGGGGAGGGCGGAGGTCATCACAACGATAGCGACGGGCACCCTCACCACCACCAGCAGCAGCAGCAGAGGATACGGCCAGAGTCCACTCTCACCTCCGTGCATCGCCTGCCGAATTTGGACAAAAGTAAGGACACCGCCGGTGGTGGTGGTGGTGGCGCGGCCACCAGGGTAGGCGGCCGGGCGGCTGTTGCGGCGGGGGCGGCGGTGGCTGCGATGATGATGTCTGGGTTGCTCGCTTTGTAGCCCAGAATTTGGGACGTCAGCCGCTCGCCCGCCCGCCCGCTCGCTCGATCCATCGCTCCGCTCGCTCCGCTCGTCTCACGTTTCTTGCCCCATCACGTCTCCGGTTCCGATGAGCGCCGAGTTCATTCGCTTTGCTAAAAATGTCGGTGTGTAGGTTTCTCCTTATTCTGCTTATTATTATTATTCTTCTTCTTCTCGTGAGCCCGCTTGTTCCTCCTGGGGGTAGTGGTCGCAGTATCGCGTGGCGAAAGCTCGAGAGGGCAAATTGCTCGACGCACGCTGCTGGAAGGACCGCGCAACGTCGCTTGGTATGCTGCGGTGAACCTCGGGGCAGATGGTCGGTGTCTTGTCTCTCGCTGCCAGAGAGAGAGAGAGAGACAGCCCTCCCCAACCCTCCAATCCATGTGAACGAGAGACTTTCAGGGTTCCACTGCTCTCTCAGTTGCTAAGAGGGAAAGATGACCTGTCGTGCGGCCAGATTTTATCGGACTTGCCACCGGGATGAGACATTCACGTGCCCTTTATAGCGGTGGGCGGAATAGCCGCGGTATATGCATGGGTCCTGGTGCTGGGGACGAAATGAGGGGGTGGTGGTTGAGGGGGTGGGGGCGTCCAATTACCTGCCCCCCCACCGCCCCCCCCCACCGCCCCACCACCTCATTGCACCTCGGCACCTGGGCCCACACTCGGGTCTGTGAGTTCCTGGTGCAGTGGCACCGCCTGCGATGTGAAATATTCGTATATTTAGTCTATTTATTTTATAAATGCATTTGGGACGCGGTGAGCCTCTATCAGCAGAATTTCAGTTCTGCATTATGCGCAGTGGCTCAAAATTCAGTTTTAGCCTCCTGCCTGGCTCGTTTCAGGGTTTATTTATCACACGTTTTAATGATTTCGCTAACTATGAAAAACGATTGAAGAAAAAATAAATAATGCAAATCAAAACATTTTTGTTGTTGTAAGAAAACTAATTTCAAATTCGACTCCGAAGCACCCTTTAAATATTGCCATTCCTCAGCCGGCACCACTCCAACTGACTGCTGGACATCTGTGAGAAAGAGCTTTATAGTTCATCGGATTCCTCCATGACGAATACATATTACGATCATTCCGACTCGCAGAGTTACGGACGATCATCGATGAAAGTGAAAACGCGTGCCGCCCCGAGGTTTCCGTGCGAATGTGAGCCTCGATTGATTGGTGGACAGGGCCACGAGGGCAATGGATCCGAGCACCCCTCGGGAGATTCCGTTCACGGAGAGGTTAAAGTGTTTCATGGTCACCCGGGAAAGAGGGCACGATGATGTGGACAATTTATTTGTTTGCGCGCTGCGCTGCAAACCCCAGTTACCGAGTTCGATTCCCACTCTCGGCCAACACCGGTGACGATTATCTGATCCGGTTCTGGGCCTCCCCTAGATCGACTCGGCCTCAGATTAGTACCTGGTGCGTGTGTGTAAAACACCCACCACCTCCTCCACGTGTGCCGTGCCGGCCTTCATAGGTGCTCGCTAACAGCACTTGCCCCAACAGTCTGTTAAGGCTACACGAGGGGGGTCTTTGTGTGTGCTCGTGTGTACGTGTGGAAACGTGTGGATACGTGTGTGTAGGTGTGCGTTTTTCACACTTTTTAAAAGGCTAACGTTAAATAAGAGACCAAACACTCCAATGCTAATTCAATATTTGTTCTATGACGATGATTATACATATACAGTACACGATAATTGGCTAGGTTTTAAGAGTAGGGTTAAGGGATTAAACTAAGAGGTCTAGGGTTTGGTTGGCTGGTTCAGCTAGTGTTAGGATCTGGTTGGATGGTGTAGCTAGTGCTAGGATCTGGTTGGGTGGCGTAGCTAGTGTTAGGATCTGGTTGGGTGGTGTAGCTGGTGTTAGGATCTGGTTGGATGGTGTAGCTAGTGCTAGGATTTGGTTGGGTGGTGTAGCTAATGTTAGGATCTGGTTGGGTGGTGTAGCTAGTGCTAGGATCTGGTTGGGTGGTATAGCTAGTGCTAGGATCTGGTTGGGTGGTGTAGCTAGTGTTAGGATCTGGTTGGTTGGTTGGTGTAGCTAGTGCTAGGATCTAGTTGGCTGGTGTAGCTAGTGCTAGGATCTGGTTGGTTGGTGTAGCTAGTGCTAGAATCTGGTTGGCTGGTGTAGCTATTGCTAGGATCTGGTTTGGTGGTGTAGCTAGTGCTAGGATCTGGTTGGGTGTTGTAGCTAGTGCTAGGATCTGGTTGGCTGGTGTAGCTAGTGCTAGGATCTGGTTGGGTGTTGTAGCTAGTGCTAGGATCTGGTTGGCTGGTGTAGCTAGTGCTAGGATCTGGTTGGGTGGTGTAGCTAGTGCTAGGATCTGGTTGGGTGGTGTAGCTAGTGCTAGGATCTGGTTGGTTGGTGTAGCTAGTGCTAGGATCTAGTTGGCTGGTGTAGCTAGTGCTAGGATCTGGTTGGGTGGTGTAGCTAGTGCTAGGATCTGGTTGGCTGGTGTAGCTAGTGCCAGGATCTGGTTGGGTGGTGTAGCTAGTGCTAGGATCTGGTTGGCTGGTGTAGCTAGTGCTACGATCTGGTTGGCTGGTGTAGCTAGTGCTACGATCTGGTTGGCTGGTGTAGCTAGTGCTACGATCTGGTTGGCTGGTGTAGCTAGTGCTAGGATTTGGTTGGCTGATTTGGTTAAGGCTAACCTCGCATCTGAATGGCTGCTCGGGTTACTGTTTGCGCCAAGATCATTCGCAGTGGCTACATTTTCCCCGATTGTGATTGGAGGAACAAAGGCGGCGGAGGAGGATGATTAAAAAAAACCCAGCCGACGATTCATCGTCGCGGATAATGGATCTCGCTGAAATGCCAAGGCAGCTCAAAGGGCCCTGCAATCGCATCCCGCCTGCAACTGTTCCAGTGCCATCCTGCAGTATTGGGCAAAAGGGGACCCACTCCGCCCCCCCCCCGGGACCGACCCCCCCCAGGACCCACCCCCCCCCCCCCGGTACCCACACCCCAGTGGAAGCCGGCCCTGCGCGGCGCAAAGGGTGGCATGGGCAGCACCGGCCTCCACGTGGGGTATCGTCTGCCGTGGGATTTCCCCCCCCCCCCCACTTTAAATAATTTACGGGTCAGGGGGTAAACATTTTGTAAAAAAAAAAAGAAAGGGAATTTTGTAAACAAAATTTCGGAAAGTTTTTTTTACGCGAGATTTTTTTTTTTACACAACATAAAATTAATTTGGAATTAAACAAAAAAATAGGAATTGTTTTTTTTTGGAGGGGAGGAATAACGTCGCCAGCATCTTTAGTGAACGGTCACCCCGGCCTGTAAGGCGGGCGACGCGCGTACCGCTTGGGGTTGATACGCACCGCGGTTTTAGCCGGCGGCGCGGCCGCTGGTGTCGAACCGCAGACGCTGGTGGCCGTGGCACGGAGCGAGTCGGGGGGGCCCCCCCCCCCCCTCTACCGCCCCCCCCCCACCACCACCACCCCCGGGGGGTAGGGGACCACCGGGACCTCGCAACGCGACGTGCGTGTACAATAAATCGCGATTGTAATGATAGTGTTACTTCTTTTGAGCCACGTAACGTCAGAACTTCGCGTCAGCGGTTACCCGGGTGTGATGTTTTTGTTTGTGTGCCACGGTCGTCTTTACGCAGCACTCTGTAGATTTGTCGGTGGAGTTTTCCGTGTCTGCGTGTGTGTGTGGGCTGTTGTTGTTGTTTGTTTGTTTGTTTGTTTTTCTGGTGACGTCACGCACACACTCGCGGGGGTGTTCCGCGCGCTCCGTGCGGTCGGTTACAATGCACGGAGCGTCTCGGCTGGAGGCGTATTCATATATCGCTTGTGCTCTCTGTCTATGCTGCATACGTATATAGATAGGAGGGTGACCTCTGAAACGGATTTCTTGAGCTACACAGCCGACGAGCGTTAACGTGCGGGCAGTTCACCTGCTCGTTAACGCCCACCCGCGCTCAGGCGTAGGCAGGTGACCTGCTCGGACGCGTGCTTTCGGATTCGTGCCCGGGCACCTCCGTTCACTCGCCTGTTGCTGTTGTTCCGCGCTTTGCACTACCACACACGGACACACACACACGCGCGCGCGCGTCGGACAGCCAATTAATTTCAGTTTATTTATATAATAATGATGATGACGATGATGATAATAATAATAGTGGATAGTTGCTGTGGTGTTTTTTTTTATTGATTACGTTTACCCGGCATGCACTGTATCGATGTGCTGCACTACTGCGTGCCGAGACCCACGGCTGCCGTTCGTACGACGAAGCGCCCACAAGCCCTGGCCGCTGATTGGCACGCGGCACGGTGCTTTGTGACGTCACAATGGATTGAAAAGCACAAGGAGAGAGAGAGAGAGAGAGGAGGGGGTTGCGGTGTGGGGGAGGGGGGGTGGGAGGTGCGAAAAAAACAAATATTTACAAATTACGGCGGCGGTGGCGGTGACGCTTTTAGATGTTTGTGACTCTCGTGAGCGTTTCTCTATTTGTCATTTTACGATTCGTATTCGCGTTATTCGCTGTCACGCAGCCGAGAGCAGCATTCATGTACGCTTTCTTATTTGCACGAATTTAATAAATTTTACATTTACAAAAGCACCCGATGACTGCTGTAATTAATTCTTACTCGGGCTGCCTCCCTCTCCCCTTCTCACCCCCCCCCCCCCCCTCCTCCTTCTTCCCTTCGTCGTTTTGTCCTTTAACAAAAGGAGGCATCTAGGGTTCCAACAAACCCATCCCTCCGATACCAACCAACCCCTCACACCCACCACCCACTCCCACCCCCTCCAAAAACAGCCATGAATTTATTTGTCAACGCCTCTCCCATCGTTACCCCCCGCCCCCAGAGCCTCGCTTCTCTCATCTGCGTTCTCCACCCAGCGTCCGAGTTGGCCTCGAGTTCGCAGACGTTCGGTGAAGGAAAGGAGGGAGAGGAGGTGGGGGGGGGTCCTTGCTACAACAAAATCTGTCGCGATTCCAGCCATGCCCCCCTCCACCCCCGCGTTAAACTTTCACCTCGACAAACGACGGATGCGCTAACCGGGGGTGGGGGGGGGGCAGCATGAAACGTCGTCACCGCCGCCGCGAACCAGACGCGTGATTTCTCTAAAGGGTACAAATTTCTAACGCTTTTGTGGACAATAATTTGGTTTTGTTTGTTAACTTTTTGTTTTCGCTCTCTCTCGCTCTCTCCCCTCTCTCTCCCTTCTCTCTCTCTCTCTCGCACACTTGCTGTGTAATATCGTCTAGCGAGGAGACGGGGAGAGAGAGACGGCGCCTCGACCGTGGGCTGGCGCCTTGCGATGTTTTTTGCCACGAGAGGGGGAGAGCGGCGGATCTAGGGGGTCCGATACCGGTGGCAGATTATTTTTTGTATTATTCTTGATTTGAAGCTTTCGTGACTGCAGGAATACGTACTCTTTGGTTCTTTCGGTAAAGTCACGTAGGTAGAAATAAAACAAAATAAAATAAAACAATATTTCGACCTACTTGACTTTACCGAAAGGACCAAAGAGTATTATTATTATATCCTTAGCTTTTTCGGTAAAGTCACGTTGAAGAATATGAATTACTGCAGTCACGAAAGCTTTAAATCAAAAAGTATTATTATTTTAATTTCCGATTTTAAAAAAAACCCCACAACAAAAGCAGGACTCGTACTGCTTGACTGTGCTTAATGCGGATTTGGCTGCCCGATTCGACCGGTGGATTATTATTGTTTTTTTGGGGGGTGCGGAGGGGGGGGGGATTGAACGCCGACAGCAAACAATGGGCACAATTTACGGAGTTGGTGGTGGTAATGGTGGTAAGGGGAGCGGTGGCATAGCGGTTAGCGCTGCGCGCTCCGAATCCGGCCACCCGAGTTCGATTCCCGCTCACGGCCAACAGCGGTGACGATTATTATCTGAACCGGTTCTGGGCCTCCCCTAGGTCGACTCTGCCTCAAAGGAGTGTGTACCTGGTTTCGGCGATGTAAAACAACGTCACTGGGGAGACTAAAGGCTGCTGGCGGTGGTGCAGGCCACCCACCCCCATCATACGCCGTGCCGATCTTTAGAGGTGCTCGCTAACAGCACTTGCCACACAAGTCTGAAGGCTATGCGGGAGATCTCTGTCTTTGGAAATGGTGGTGGTTTTGTGCGTCGGCTACTGCTGGCGGAAGGGACCCCCCCCCCCTCTCCACACTTTACCCCACCACATGCTACCTAACCGTGGTGTTACCCACCTACACAAACGTGCCGGTGGAGTCCAGTATGCTGACCATTACGTCATGGCAGCCTCCTCGTCTTCCTCACACACACACAAGACAAAGATCCCCCGTATAGCCTGCAACAGGCCGTTGGGGCAAGTGATGTTAGCGAGTAGCACCTCTGAAGGCCGGCACGGCACACAAGACAAGGGTGGGTGGCCAACACCACGCCCGACCGCCTTTGTCTCCCCAGCGGCGACACATTTTACACGCCGTGTCAAGGGAGGGTAAAGCCGCAGCCCCTCCCCCCCCCCCCCTCCCTCTGGAGTCCACGCTAACCAGTACGGCTCTGGAACACAAATAAAAGTTGACAGAGTTATCCACACTTCACTTCACCCCCCCCCCCACCACCTTCCCACCACCGCATGCGACCTGAAACCCACGTGGCACCCGCTGGTCGGCTCAGCGACGGTGGCTTTCGGAGACCTCGCGCCCTCGTTTCGGCAAATGCCGCGAAACGTCGTCGAGCAATCGCGCCGCTTGCGACAGCCGCCCCCTACGGTCACGCGCGCCCTCCCCCCCCCCCCCTCTCTCTGTCGATTTCTACTGCTGGGCGGGGGGGCCTCCCACCGTGCCGCTGTCGTTTGACCGCGACTCGCCACGCCGCTCCGTGTGTGCCGGGTTGGTGGAGACACGGGGGGTGGTGGTGGTGGTGCGGAGAGAAGTTGCGGTACCACAAATGCTTGCCCGTTCGTGCGCTTACCGGGCACAAACTGACCGCTACTTTGCTTCCAGAATGGAAGGTTTTTTTTTGCGTGTGTGTGTGTGGGTTAGATCGCGTAAAATATATAAATGTGTCGTTAAACCCGCCACCACCCGACACAGCCAATTCGTGAGGTTTGTCACGTAAACAGAACGTGCCGATTCGTTACTAGTACAGCACTAGTGTGTAGAGTAGTGTGTAGTGTAGTGTGTAGAGTAGTGTGTAGTGTAGTGTGTAGAGTAGTGTGTAGTGTAGTGTGTAGAGTAGTGTGTAGTGTAGTGTGTAGAGTAGTGTGTAGTGTAGTGTGCAGAGTAGTGTGTAGTGGCCTAGTACAGAACACCGGTGTGTTGGAGAGCCAAGCCACAACAATTACAATCTGAGTACGACTTTTCGCCGAGGTTCAACGACACATTTATACATTTACGCGATCTAACCCAAAAAACCCTGCATTATGGATGGTCGCCAAAGCCTACCACGTGCTAAGCTTCGGAGAGATCTTCCCTGGCGGTGCGGAGTCGCTGTGACGGAACGTGAGCCCCCCACACCCCACCCCGAGAGCACAATTCACTCGGGCACTCGGCCTCATGCGTGAGCCTTACCTCTCCCCCCTCTACCCCTACTCCCACCCACCTCCACCCTCTACCCCCCCCCCCCCCACGCCCCCACACTTATCCCCTCTCTTCTCCACTCCCATATCTCTCCCACCTCTCCCTCCATCCCCTACTTATCTCCCTTCTCCCTCCACCCTTATCTTGCCTCTGTCTCTCCCTTCACCCCTCTCTTCCCTTCTCGCTCTCCCTCTTTCCTCTCCCCTCTCTCTCCTCCCTCTACCCTCACCCTCTCTCTCCTCCCTCTCCCCTCACCCTCTCTCTCCTCCCTCTCCCCTCACCCTCTCTCTCCTCCCTCTCCACTTCCTATCTCTATCCTCCCCTCACCCTCTCTCTCCTCCCTCTCCTCCCTCTACCCTCACCCTCTCTATCCTTCCTCTCCCCTCACCCTCTCTCTCCTCCCTCTCCCCTCACCCTCTCTCTCCTCCCTCTCCACTTCCCATCTCTATCCTCCCTCTCCCCTTACCCTCTCTCCTCCCTCTCCCCTTACCCTCTCTCTCCTCCCTCTCCCCTCACCCTCTCTCTCCTCCCTCTCCCCTCACCCTCTCTCTCGTCCCTCTCCCCTTACCCTCTCTCTCCTCCCTCTCCACTTCCAATCTCTATCCTCCCTCTCCCCTCACCCTCTCTCTCCTCCCTCTCCACTTCCCATCTCTCTCCTCTCTCTCCCCCCTCATATTTCCTTCTCCCTCGGCGTTGACCACCCCCCTCCCCCCGCCTTCTTTATCTCCATCTCCCCTCTCCCCATATCCCCCTCTCCCTCCCCTCTCCATCTCCCCTTACCCTCCCCCTCCACTATCTCCCTCCCCCCCCTCTCGCCGCTCCCCCCTCCCCCCATTGCAGTCGGGCCCCCCCCAATCCACCACGCGCCCGACGACTTCAAGGTGATGTTCCCGGCGCGCACCAACTACATGTTTGTGCGCGCCAAGCGCTCGCTGCCCGAGCTGCATGCGTTCACCATCTGCCTGTGGCTGCGATCGGGAGGCCCCAGCTCTGGGACGCCCTTCTCCTACGCCGTGGACGATCAGCCCAACGAGCTGGCGCTCATGGAGTGGGGGAACAACCCCATGGAGCTCATCATCAACGACAAGGTAGTAAACCCCGCCCCCCCCCCTCGCACGCTCTGCTGCTGCTGCTGCTGCGTTTGTGCCAACACCGGCCACTGCCGCCACCACCACCACCACCACTGCAACTGCCACCACCGATGCTCCTGCCATCGCCGCCACTGCCACCAACGTCACCGCTGCGACGACTGCCGCAACCTCCGCCACCACCTCCGCCACCGCCGCCATCACCACTATTACTGCCACCCACCTTCGCCACCACTACTGCTACCATCACCACCACCTCCACCACCACCACCGTTGCTACTGCTGCCACCACCACCGCCACCACCACACTCAACGAGTTACCCCCCTTCCCGCACACTCCCTTTAGGGTCCACCCCCCCCCCCCCCCGCGCCGCCCCCATCACCTCCAATGAATTACGAGAGGCGGTGCGGTGCAAGTGTCAATTTACTCGCGAGAAAGAAATCACTGTCCCATGCAATGCAATTTGCAGTAAAAAGAACAAAAGAACAGCACACGCGGTCAGTTTGACAAGTCGCTGTCATCCATCACCGGGGTTCCCACCTGTCCGGGATTGACCCGGACGGTCCGACAATTTTCTTCGTCTGTGTGCCGGTGGCAGCAGGGAATTGATTTTGGCGACCGAGATCTGGTACCGGCTGTCGCTGTCGATGAGCATCGTTGCCCGGATATATCGCAGCGCCGCATCGGACGACGGACCCCGGGCGCTGAGTGAGAAACGTGTCCGGGGATTTGATGGACGGAGGTAGGGAGAGGTCACGAGAGAGAGAGGAAAGAGGTCACGTGAGAGGAGAGAGGTCATCAGAGAGAGAAGCGGTCACGAGAGAGCGAAGAGGTCACGAGAGAGTAGAGGTCACGAGAGAGTAGAGGTCACGAGAGAGTAGAGGTCACGAGAGAGAGTAGAGGTCACGAGAGAGAGTAGAGGTCACGAGAGAGAGTAGAGGTCACGAGAGAGAGTAGAGGTCACGAGAGAGAGTAGAGGTCACGAGAGAGAGTAGAGGTCACGAGAGAGCGTAGAGGTCACGAGAGAGCGAAGAGGTCACGAGAGAGCGAAGAGGTCACGAGAGAGAGTAGAGGCCACGAGAGAGAGTAGAGGTCACGAGAGAGAGTAGAGGTCACGAGAGAGAGTAGAGGTCACGAGAGAGAGTAGAGGTCACGAGAGAGAGTAGAGGTCACGAGAGAGAGTAGAGGTCACGAGAGAGAGTAGAGGTCACGAGAGAGAGTAGAGGTCACGAGAGAGAGTAGAGGTCACGAGAGAGAGTAGAGGTCACGAGAGAGAGTAGAGGTCACGAGAGAGAGTAGAGGTCACGAGAGAGAGTAGAGGTCACGAGAGAGAGTAGAGGTCACGAGAGAGAGTAGAGGTCACGAGAGAGAGTAGAGGTCACGAGAGAGAGTAGAGGTCACGAGAGAGAGTAGAGGTCACGAGAGAGAGTAGAGGTCACGAGAGAGAGTAGAGGTCACGAGAGAGAGTAGAGGTCACGAGAGAGCGAAGAGGTCACGAGAGAGCGAAGAGGTCACGAGAGAGCGAAGAGGCCACGAGAGAGAGTAGAGGCCACGAGAGAGAGTAGAGGCCACGAGAGAGAGTAGAGGCCACGAGAGAGAGTAGAGGCCACGAGAGAGAGTAGAGGCCACGAGAGAGAGTAGAGGTCACGAGAGAGAGAAGAGGCCACGAGAGAGAGAGGAGAGGCAAACGTCGGACGCAGTGTGCTGACACCCCCCCCCCCCCACTCGCGACCTTCCCCCCCCCCACCCAGGTCACGCGACCCCCACACGGCGAGGCCCTCTGCTAAACGAGACAAACGCGGACGCCGCCTTAATGGCCTCGCTCCGTATCGCTCCGTGCAAACGAAACGCCGTCAATTTACTCGTTAGGCTCGCGTGCCACGGTGGGGCACGAGGGGGACTCCAATTAGCCAAATCAGTTCCACGTTCACCTGACTCGCTCCCTTCATAATAAACCCGGCCACTTCGGGTGGCGGGGGGGGGGGCAGCTCGGGGTCTGTGTGTGTGTGTGCGCGCCTTTAGTGTTGGCGTTGTGTGCGGAGCGGTGGTGCAGCGGTTAGCGCTACGTTGCGCTATGAACCCGGCGACCCGAGTTCGACTCCCGCTCACGGCCAACACCGGTGACAATTATTTGAACCGGTCCTGGGCCTCCCCTAGGTCGACTCGGCCTCCGAATGAGTAACTATTGCATTGTGTAAGCATCGCCACTGGGGAGACAAAGGCGGCCGGGCGGGGTGCTGGACACCCACCCCCTCGTGTGCCGTGCCGGCCTTCATAGGTGGCTCGCTAACAGCACTTGCCCCAACAGTCTGTAAAGGCTATACGGGGGATCTTTATCATTTAATGTTGACGTGAACTGAGTGGGGAGCACAGCTGGTACATCTGCCAGTGTGGTCACCAGGGCCCCTTGTGCCAGGCTAGGTGCACCGTGAGGCTCGTTGCTTGGCAGGAGATCACGGAAAACGCACAACCCTGTGGTACCCACTGTGCCATTTTGCTGCGTTTTACCCGCCCGGCACTTAGCTCGTTGTTGTGAGCATCGCTCCTCCGCCCTATTCTGTTGCCCAGTAGCGTCCTTCACGAGCCTCCTCCTCCACAGAGGCCGATCTTGTCCACCACTGGTACCGGTTCATCGGCAAGTCGACTCGGTTCCACATCCTCCCACCCACACCTCCCCATGTAACCTGCTTGCAACTTTAGCCAGGGATCGATTTTTGTTGATTGTTGTTGATTGTTGTTGTAACTTGCTGACAGCCCCCTAACTGGATATCTGTGAGGAGAGAGGAGCGAGAGAGAGCTTAATAGCTTATCGGATTTCTCCTTCACTCTACATCACGATTCTGACCATGGGCGGAATTTGGGTATGGGGGGGGCGAGGCCCCCCAAACAGAACACCTTTGTTAATTTATTTTTCGTAGTTCACAATTAAGATTTTAAAAAATGTTTTAGATGCAGCCCCCTCTCCAAATGTAGAAGTCAAACTCCGCCTTCGATTCTAACGCTTGACTCGCACGCGCACGCGTGCCACAGACTGCTGTTGTTGTTGCCACGTGCCACCGACTGCTGTTGTTCTTGTCACGTGCCACCGACTGTTCTTGTCACGTGCCACCGACTGTTGCTGTTGTTGTCACGTGCCACCGACTGCTGCTGTTGTTGTCACGTGCCACCGACTGTTGCTGTTGTTGTTACGTGCCATCGACTGTTGTTGTCACGTGCCACCGATTGTTGTTGTCACGTGCCACCGACTGTTGTTGTCACGTGCCACCGACTGTTGTTGTCACGTGCCACCGACTGCTGCTGTTCTTGTTGTCACGTGCCACCGACTGCTGCTGTTCTTGTTGTCACGTGCCACCGACTGTTGTTGTCACGTGCCCCCGACTGTTGTCACGTGCCACCGATTGTTGCTGTTCTTGTTGTCACGTGCCACCGACTGTTGTTGTCACGTGCCGCCGCCGCCTCGTGGTTCACCGCCGTCCGTCTGCGCGCGCAGATCGCGCGGCTGCCCGTCAGCGTGAGCGACGGCCGCTGGCACCACCTGTGCGTCACGTGGAGCACCCGCGACGGCGTCTGGAAGGCGTTCCAGAACGGCGCCTACCGCGGCACCGGCGAGAACCTCGCGCCCTGGAGGCCCATCAAGGCCGGCGGCGTCCTCATCCTGGGCCAGGAGCAGGTGCGGTTGGGGGGGGGGGGGGTGGCGCGGTGGGTGGGTGTTGGGGGGGGGCTACGGAGAGGAATGTGATGGTGGGGGGGGGGGGGGGAGTGCGTTTTATTCCGTGTCGCGTCGCTGTGTTGTGTTTGGCGTTCTTCACATTTGAGGGTTGGGTTACTCCCTCGCTCCTCCTCTGCTCTTCTGGACCCTCTCTCTTCTACCACTCTCTCTCTCTTCACCCTCTCCACTGCCTATTCTTGTCTCTCTCCCTCCCCCACATCTCCCCCCCTCCCATCTCTTCCATTCCCCATTCTCTCTCCTCCCCCACGTCTCTCTTTCCCCTCCATATCATCCCTTACCCCCCAATCCTCTCCCTATCTATACCTTCTACCCCCTATTCTTATCTGCCCCGGTATCTCTCCATTTCTGTTTCTCTCGCTCTCCCTCCGTATCTGCCCCCTCCAGATCATCCCTAACCCCCAATCCTCTCTCTATACTCTCTACCCCCCCCCCCCCCATTCTCATCTTCTCCCGGTAAATATAAATGCGTCGTTAAACCCGCCACCACGGGACACAGCCAATCAGTAAGGTTTATCGCGTAAACAATACGTGCCGATTCGTTACTAGTTCAGCACACACCGGCGTGTTGGGGAGTCAACCCACTGCAACATCTGCATCTTGTGGGTTCACCACTGTCGGCACCGTGGTCACCGTGGACGTGGCCTCTCTCCATGCCTGTCAACCCCTTATCAGTGCCCTCTACCTTATTACAGACCTTATCAGTGACTCCGTGCCCCCTTATAAATCTCAACGTTCATCCTACAAAGTCCCACCACAAGGGTAGAAGAAACACAATGTCGCCCGCATTGAAACGGCCGTATGGACCTGAAAACTCAATTTCCCTGCACGAGAATTCGGGGTAAACCGTGCGGGGTCGACGCTGCATTGCGAGTCTCTCGCTCTCTTTGCGCACGTGCAGGACGTGGTGGGCGGCAACTTCGACGCGACCCAGGCGTTCCTGGGCGAGATGGCGCAGTTCAACGTGTGGGACCGCGAGCTGCTACCAGACGAAATCATGGAGCTGGCCACGTGCTCGCGCTCCTTCTCGGGGAACGTCGTCGCCTGGACCGAGGACGCCATCGACGTCCACGGAGGCCTCACCCATCACCCGTTCGGCCGCTGCTCCTCCGTGCTCTCCAACTTCTGACCCTACGACGACGACCTTTGACAATGGCCCATTGGTGATGACCCTTTGATGATGACCTTTGATGATGACCCTTGATGATGACCTTTGATGATGACCGTTGATGACCTTTGATGAAGACCCTTGATCATGATGACCTTTGATGATGACCCTTCATAATGGCCATTCATGATGACCCTTGATAATGACCTTTGATGGAGACCCTTGATAATGACCTTTGATGATCACCTTTGATGATGACCTTTGATAATAACCTTTGATGAAGACCCTTGATTATGACCTTTGATGATGACCTTTGATGATGACCGTTGATGACCTTTGATGAAGACCCTTGATGATGATGACCTTTGATGACCTTTGATGATGACCATTCATAATGACATTGATGATGATCTTTGATAATGACCCTTCACATTGACCCTCGATGATGACCTTTGATGATGATCAGCTCTGCTAATAACCTTTGATAATGACCCCCAATGATGACCTTTGGAAATGACCTTTGATGATGACCCTTGATGACGACCAATCAGAATCGTCATTTAGACTGCAGGAGGAATCCGATGAGATGCGAAGCTCTTTTTCACAGATGTCCAGTAGGAGAATGACCTGTTGGTGATGACCTTTGACCCTTTGACGTTGACAATCGACGTTCACGGAGGCCCCCGGCCCGCGCGGACGCTGCTCCGCAAGGCTGTCCGATTCCGACCTACGATGCTGACCCTTAATGCTGACCTTTCACGATGACCTTTGATGACCTTTTGACGAGCACCTCTGGAGCTGACGTTCGATGGCCTCCGCTGCTGACCTCTGATGCCCACCTCCAAAGCTGACCTTTGGCACTTTTCCTCTCGATAACGCCCTCCGATACCGACAATGAACGATAACCGGTAGAGCTGACCCTTGCAGGTGACCATTGACAACTTCGATCGTGACCCACCACAATAGGGCGCTGACCTCCTCAGCTCGACGCTGAGCCCACGCGACCTTAACATCGAGCCCTCGCCGTCGTCCCGACCTCCGCCCCCGGACTTGAACCCCGTGAGCCTGACCATGCCCACCACTGCACACGCCATAATTTTGACACCGACGTCAGCCTCAACTTTGACATTTACCCCCTCCCCCCTATTTGACCGTGACCTTGACCTCGACATTTCCCCCCCCCCCCCCCACACACCCTCAACCCGCCCACATTTTTTCACACTGAACTCGACCAAACCCTGACCCTGACCCTGACCTGACCTTGCCACAGAACCCACCACCGACACCCCCCCCCCACACAACCCCTACGCCGGCATCGGTTACAACCCCGACTCGCAAACCCTGACCCCCCCCAACCTCGACGTCACCCTCGACCTCGACTCCCACCGCAACAACTCCTCCTCACCGACCGGGGCGGTGACGACGGCGGTAAAGGTCACGCCGCCGTCGGGTTCGCCCGCCCCGCCGAGGGAAGTGTCGCCCTCGGCTCACGACCACCCGGGCGCAGGGAGGCTCCCTCGCTACGCTGGGACGTCACGTGCCCCAGGAGTCTCGGACAACGATCGCCCGCTCGATCGCGGTTAGGGCAAACACCGGCAGCGTGTGTGTGCGTGTACGTACGGTTGAGCTTCGTTCGCACCGCACGTAGCCAACGGCGCCGATCGGAGGTAGCGGTGGTAGAGGATGACGCGCAAGTGTCCCTTACCGACTTGGGGTCAGCGGGCCACTTGCTCCGCTGCCACTGCCGCCGCTGCCTCTGGCGCCTGATGGCGCCGCCGAGTGTATGTTAGTCTCGCACGCCGCGCGTCGTCGTCGTCGTCGTCGTCTTTTGCAACGTTCCACCAAGGTCCGGCACCGTTGATGTTGGATGAGAGAGATGTTTGGGAGGGGGGGGGGCGGGGGTTGGTAGGTGCCGGGCGCGGGGGAACTTCTCAAACGACGCGACGACCATTCAGGCCGCTCGCTTGCAAGCGACAGATTTATTTTATTTATTTTGTTTTTACCGTTGCTGGCGTCGACCGCCCCGCAAGGGGACAACCCCCCGGGCAGCCCCAGCGGCATTCGTTTAAGGGAGCTCATCAGCCCTGCTGATGAGACTCGGTCGGAGTGCTCATACCCTAGCCTCGGTTTATATTTACAGAGCGCGCGCGCGCCTTGAGCTCAAGGCGCGCGCTCTCTCTGTAACGTAGTTGCACAACAAAAAAGGTGAACAAAAGAATCGAGTGATCGGGATGCAAGGGCCGAGTGAATGAGTGGCCGTAACAGAGGGCGCACGATAGGGCTATAGGGGAGGGACGGGAAGGAGCGGAGGGGTGAGGGGCGAGGGAAGATGGCCATGGGCGACGGAGAAGAGGCGACAGGGGCCGACTCACCGACTCGCCGACTCACCGACTCACCGACTCACCGACTCACCGACACACTGACACACCGACACACTGACACACCGACACACCGACTCACCGACACACTGTTCCACCGCTTTGTCTCCCAATTAAACAAATGCCGCTGGTACCAACGCCGAGGTTGCAGAGATGCCACGGGGTCGACCGCGGGGCACCGGGGGCGCTCTTGGAGCGACGAACAACGCGTGGTCGGACGATTGTTTGTTTCATTTCGGTCGGCGCGGCGTCCGACGTTTCGCCCCCTCCCCCGGCGCTGCTGCGGGGGGCAGTAAACGCGGAAGGGGGAAACGTCGGGCACTCGCCTGCCCAACGACACGGAGTGTGTCGTTGGGCACTCGCCTGCCCAACGACACGGAGTGTGTCGTTGGGCACTCGCCTGCCCAACGACACGGAGTGTGTCGCTGGGCACTCGCCTGCCCAACGACACGGAGTGTGTCGCTGGGCACTCGCCTGCCCAGCGACACGGAGTGTGTCGTTGGGCACACGGAGTGTGTCGTTGGGCACTCGCCTGCCCAACGACACGGAGTGTGTCGCTGGGCACTCGCCTGCCCAGCGACACGGAGTGTGTCGTTGGGCACACGGAGTGTGTCGTTGGGCACTCGCCTGCCCAACGACACGGAGTGTGTCGCTGGGCACTCGCCTGCCCAACGACACGGAGTGTGTCGTTGGGCACACGGAGTGTGTCGTTGGGCACTCGCCTGCCCAGCGACACGGAGTGTGTCGACGGTCCATGGAGCGCACGCCGGCGGGGTGCGTTCGGAGCCACCGTACACGCGGGGATTTATCTATTTATTTATCTATTGATTTATCTATCGATTTATCTATTTATTTATCTATTGATTTATCTATTTATTTATCTATTTATGTATCTATTTATCTGTTTATTTATCTATTTATTTATCTATTTATTTATCTTCTTTGGTTCTTTCGGTAAAGTCACGTAGAATGAGAATAAAATAATAAATTGATAAAATAAAATAACACAATAATTGTGTTATCGAAAGAACCAAAGAAGATGAATCATTGCAGTCACGAAAGCTTTAAATCGAAATATTTATTTATCTATTTATTTATCTATTTATTTATCTATTTATTTATCTATTTATATATTTATCTATTTATTTATTCCCGTTCATTTATTTTGCTCATTCTGGGGATCGCCGCCGCGGTGAAATGGTCAGCGCCACTCAGAATCAGAATATTGATTTACACCGGAGGAATCCGATGAGTTATAAAGCTCTTTTTACACAGATGTCCGGTCGGGGCCGGCTTACGATCCCCCCCCCCCCCGTCCCCCCCCGTCCCCCCCCCCGTCCCCCCCCCCCGAGGTTTCGTGCGGGATTTGTGAGTCGATCTCCCGGCGCGCCACCGCCTCCGTTCAGCCGGCGGCATGAACGGATGGGTTCGCCGCGGTTCGTGCCTCGCGTGTGGGGGAAAAAGTGTGGGGGAAAAAGTGTGGGGGGAAAAGTGTGGGGGGAAAAGTGTGGGTTACTCCCCACCTCCTTTGTTCTCTACCCCTACCCCCCCCCCCCCCTTACATCGAGACGTTCGGCCGACGTTCCACGAGAAAAGAGAGAGGGGGGGCGCGCGGGGTGGGGGTGGCCCCGTCCGGTGAGCGGCAGTGGCGCGGGCGGCAAGCGCTTGCATGGCTGCGCCTTTACCCTTTCGCGTTCGTTCTGTTCGCTCGGAAGAGCTGGCAAAAGTGGGGGGGTGGGGGGGGGGGGGGGGGGGTTTGGCGGAGCGTTTGGCGGAGCGTAGGCCGCCCCTCGCACGCCGGTCGACGATGGATTTATGGAGAAAAAAAAATATGTATAAAATAATAATAATAACGATTTGGTTTTTCGTTCGTCGAGAAGCGAATGATTGAGAGAAGTAGCAGTGGCCGCCTTAATGCACTCGTGGTTAGAAACAGCACCTTGCCCTCTGCCGGGGGGGGGGGGGGGGTTGCTATGGACGCTCGCGTAGCCCTCGCACTATCCTCCTCCTCTTGCATGGTTTCATTTCTTTCCCGGGCACAGCTTTCAAGCGACAAACTTTTGCACTTTTGCGGCGAATTGTTCCCCCCTTATCGTCCGATTCGTTTTTTTGTGGGGAGGGGGGATAAGGGGCGGGCCGGCGGGGGGGGTCACGGACGGAGACGAGTGGCGTCGATGCCGTCTATTGTGACGTCGTTTGGAAATGGTGGTTCGAAGCGTGAGCTTTGTTTAAAACGAAGCGGGGGGGGGGGGAGGGAGGGGGTTCGGCGTTGTTTAAAAGTGGGGGGCCGTATCAAAACTCAGGGGCGGGTGGGGTGGGGTGGGGTGGTCTGGGGGGGGGTTAGCGGCACGACACAGAAAATGTAAAACAAATAAACTTTCAAAGAATCTCAAACGCAAAACGCGACGAGCCCAGGACAGATGCGTAGTGTTCCATGGTGATGGGTGGGTGTGGGTGTGTGGGTGTGTGGGGGGCTCAAGGCTAACCGTATCGCCCCCCCCCCCCCCCATTACAGTTAAGCTGAAAAAGATGCTGTTATAATATCTAAAATATTTTACAGCAGCGGTGACTTTATTTTATTATTTTGACGTCGCGGTAAAAATGTGTAAGATTAAGAGATGAATCCTTCAGCAGTGGGGGGGGGGGGGGGGGGGGGGGGGTCTCGGCCCGACTTTAGCCATACCCCTCCCCCACCCCTCCCCCACCCCTCCCCGTCACTTGCACAGCTGCTAAGCAATATCACTCGGCTCTATCGTCACGAATATCTGGCTCCCACCGCGGATTATTATTATTTGGGGGGGGGGGGGCGGGGTCGGTAGAATCAAAATCTTAAACGTCAAAGTTAACAAGAGCATTTCAAACCAGCTGCACAGACTGCGATACGTGAATTGGTAAAGCGGCCGCGCGTGAAACCGCGGTTCATCGTCAAACCGAGAATTGTTTACACTGCGCGTGGAGAGGAGTCCCCTTGGTGGCCGAAGGCTCGCGAGGGATGGCGAGCGAGAGGTGGAGCGAGCGAGAGGTGGAGCGAGGTGCTGATGGAAGCCACGCGATGGAGTAGTGGGACGCCGGTTAGCGCGGCCCCTTCTCAAACGTGAACTGGCGAGTGTTGATAGAATAGTCCGAGTCCCGGCTGGGAAGACGTGTCTTGGATTGGGTGGATCGTGGAATAGGTGGCAACCTTGCCGCACACCCAGCGAGCCAGCCACGAGCGTTGCCACCTCTCCAGGAATTCGCATCTCTCATCGGGTCGCAGCAGCAGCAGCAGCAAGTACCCTAATTCGCAACCGAGATGTGATACCGACCTCGCCGTGCTGAACTTTACCCGAGCTTATGCCGCGCCGTTTTGTTTTAATTGTGGGCCGATAGACCTCGCGCTGACCGAGAGGCATCTCTCCGGTGCGGTGTGTTTGGTCCGGGGGCAGGGCGAGTGCATCATCTTCGTTCACGCGTGCCGCCCCCCCCCCCCCCCGCACACATTACAGAGGGCACGTCGGCTCGGTGACTGCCGAGACGCGATGACTTCGTGTCATCGCGCAGGGCGGTGCGAGCCATTGTGAACGCGACGCTACTCAACCAAAACAAACAAACTAAACAATCTCAGCGCGCACGGGAGAGTTTTCCTGGCCGTTGCAAGCGACTCCCCTCCCCACCCCCACTCTCGGCGCGGGTTTCATTCGCGGAGGCTTAACGAGAAATAACCAATTCCCTCTGAAATGGAACGAAGTTTTGTTTTTCAAGTTCGGGGCTCAGGCCGCGGTGATGCCATTGACTCGTCACCCCGGATTTCGTGGGCGCGACGCTCGATCGATAAGAGTCACGTGGGGGGGGGGGAGCTACCCCCCCCCCCACAACCCCCGCGCACCACCATCACCGCCTCCCCCCCAATGTGCGGGATGTGGTGGGTGGGGGAGGCGTTGGCTATCGAGGGGTGCGCAGGCGGTGCAACTGCGCCGGCGCAAATTGGCCAGAGGAGCCGCCGCGGTGGGGGGGGGGGGGGGCTATCTTCCTTGGCAGGCCTCGGGATACAAAGACGGAGGTGTGTGGGGGGGGGGCGGGGGAGCTGGATGTGGGGGGGTGGGGGAGTGGGATTGAACAGGGGACCACATTTAACTCCTTGCACCGTAGCCCAAACTACGCAGCTTTCTCTGATGGGTAAATACGAACCGATAAGCTTCCAGTTCCAAGTTCTATACCCGATCCAGCTCTCTCTCGAGCTGCCTCTGGTGGAGTCTTTCCGCCAGCAGTGGCGTGAGTAAGCAATTGCAGGGCCTGCGCCTTTACCGCGTTTTAACTCGCCTAAGGCGGTGCTGTGGCGATGTTAGTTTGTGTGTTGTTCTTGCGTTAAATGTGGTTAACACACACACACAAAAACACCAACAAAAATCAACATCGACTCACAGTATGTTCCGTCACAGGGCCTTTCCGTTACAGACCCCATCAAGTATTATGGACAGGGATTGCCACCTGTCCAGGTGCGAGTATTGGTCTTTGGATCCTCTTTGTGTTTCCGGGTGGCACCCGCAGCAGCAGGTATTGCTTTGGTGCCGAGATCTGAACTTGACTGCACAGTTGTCGCTATAGACTCCAGAGCTGGTCGAGAGTGGACAATCATGATCGTCCGACTCAACACCTACCCAGGTTAGGGGTTGCCACCTGTTCTGCTTTTCCCCTGGATCCTCCTCTCGCTGTACCCGGGAAATCTGCGAGTCTTCGCGGTGACGTGTTAACTACTTCCCCGGCCGTTGGCAGTGGCGTAATGACAGACGGCTACAACGACGACAAGAACCAATTGTCAATGACACACGGGACGGCCATCTCACACTACCCGTCCATTCACGCACTCAACCCACCACGGGAGGACACGGAAGAGGCGATTGGCCTTCACCATCCCGAGCGGTGCCGTTCCATCGCCCACCGCCCCACATCGTTGCACAACCACTCGCTCAGGGTGTGGACAAAGCAGTTGCTGCGGTTGAGGCGGCTACGATGGCGATCGCTGGCCGCTCGGCTGTCGTCCCGCCCCCCCACCTCCTCTCCCGGGGTGAATTGTCAATCTTCTCCGGATTATAAGGGGCAGGAAGGAGCCGTTGCCGGAGCTTGCCGTGCGGCGGTCGTTAATTGGGTCGCGCTGGGGAAATTGTCTCACCCTTCACAACGCCGATTTCGAAGAATTAAGCGCCGAAGTGCAATAACGGTGAGGGTACATAGAGGGGAAGGGGGGGGGGGGGGGGGGAAGTGCGTTTTATTTCTATAAACTTAACGCTAAAAAAACCCTCCCATTATTCATATTAATATATTTTAAAAAATCAACAAAAAAAACTGAAACAAAACGTAACCATAAAATAAAATAAAAATCGCAAAAAAGAACTTTTGAACAAAAAAATATTATAGGTGAAGCAAAGGTTGGCTAGTTTATACGTTTATATTCGGTGTAGTGATTGTGCTTCCGTGAGCATGCCTGAAGCATGACGCATGGCTAATCGTTACCTGAGCCACTACCTCAATCACTCCCTGACTCGCCTGGCCGCCCGTGGGGTGAACCGCTCACTCACCAACTCATTCACCAACTCACTTAGCAACACTCGCCGCCACCACCACCACTCATCTCCGCTCCGCTCCACTCTCCTCCTCGACTCTCCGTCCCCTACTGCTCTCACAATCACTCGTGCGCGTACAGCACTCGTACAAGGAACACACCTGTCCGTGGACGAGTGTGTGGCCAGGGTTATAGGTGGGGTTAGGGTTAGGGTCTGGTTGGCTAAAGTGGTTATGTGGCTAGGGTTAGTGTAAGTAGGGATGTCATTAGTGCTAACATGGGTAGGGTTAGGGTCTGGTTGGCTGGTGTGGTTATCAGTTTCATTTATTTGGAATAACCCTGTGAGCCATTCGGCTCTTGATTCGGG